GATACTTGGGATCAACACTTGTTTAGGCTTAAGGCTCTCTTTGAGACCTTCCAGAGTTCCCATTTGACTGTTAATTTATCTAAGTCTTCCTTTGGCCAAGCTACTGTTACTTTTCTGGGCCATGAAGTAGGTAGTGGCAAAGTTGCTCCTAAATTTGCTAAAGTTCTTGCCATTAAAAATTACCCAATTCCCAATGATAGAAAATCTCTTCAACATTTCCTAGGCATGATAGGGTTTTACAGAAGATTCTGTAAAAAAAAATTCAGATATTGTAGCCCCTCTTACCTCTCTTACCAGTCACAAAGTTCCCTTTAATGTCAAAATGCTTTAACGAAAACAAAAAGATTATTGTGTACTGTACCCATTTTTTTGTCTCCAGACTTCTCCAAACTTTTCTCATAACAGGTTGATGCTTGTGAGTCTGGGGTTGGGGGTAGTACTGTTGCAAAACGGGGACAAGGGGTTACAGCCTTTGGCCTTCTTCCCGGCAAAGTTCCAGCCGCACCAGAGGGCTTACTCTACCATTGAAAAAGAAGCCCTCGCGTTGATACTGGCCTTGGAGCCCTTCGATGTTTACGTGGGCCAGACTTCACAGGTGCTCACTGTCTGCTATAGTGACCACAACCCTTTGGTGTATGTCCAAGGCATGAAGAAACAATACGAGGCTCATGAGATGGAGTCTATGACTGCAGCCCTATTCTCTCAGAATAATACACATTCCCAGCAAAGAAAATAAGTTGGCAGATGCTTTATCCAAGGGTGTTAATGTTGCAGTTTAAAAACTGTAGTGTAAAGCACCCTTCTGGCAAGACAGTGATGGAGTGAATGATGGTGAAAGTGTTTCTTTTTTGGGCCACCCTGCCTTGGTGGGAATCGGCCAGTGCGTTAATAAAAAAAATAATAATAATAATAGATTAGGATGTGTTAGGGACCTGTGGTAACCAGTTTCTAGCTCTTTTTTTCCCCCCTTTATATATGTGGTGGGGTTTGTGTTTTTAGTGAGTGGGTGCAGGCTACTGTCCGCCTGTACCTTGGACCTACGTTAGCCCTACTGTCTGCTGTCTCGCTCTAAGTTTAGGGTTTGGCTTTATGTCGCAAATAAAGCTGAGCTCTATCCAAGAGTTGGATGGTTGAGAGGAAAGGCGGTCCCATTATATGGTGCCATGGTGGCACGGTTACCAATGGGAAGTGGGAGCCTATTCCTGAGAAATCTTGGGGTGGGAGTGTGGCATGCAAAGAGTATGTAACCTTTATTCGGCACATGTACACACCCTCATTGAAAGGCTATCTCCCCCAACCAGCGAACCAGTACTAACACAAACACAAACACTGCCTCCGCTGCAGGACAATCACTTTAGTGCTGATTTTCTCTATTCTGTTTTTACAATAAACCCGTACACCAGACAATAACCCGCACATTGATGGGGAGGAGCTTACGACGACGTTTCGGTCCGACCTGGACCATTTACAAAGTCACACCATCACAAGTTATGACTGAAATGTCATGTAAGCTCCTCTCTTCTTTGTGCGGGAATTTTGTATTGTTCCCGCTACAATATTGTGCCTTTTCTTGTTATTACTGTACACTACTGTATAAACATTTAAAAATATACCAGAAATATTATAAATGGTGCAAAAAGGGGATATTAACCCTTGCAGCGCATTTCAAACGTACTGCCCCAGCAAAAGCAGGACACCACCAAAGGGAAGCACTTCTGAGAATGCCCGCCCAAGGTTTTTGGGGGACAGAATCAGAAGCTGCAGATAAAAACTGAGGTCGAGAAGGTGTAAAAGCTCCGCACAGATGGTATTAACCCGTCGCCGGCTTCCCTCAGTCTTGTTGGAAATGTTGATTTTCGCCACCAGAGAGCCAGGCGCGGAGCATACAAACGCTCACTTTGGCACCTGGAGAGGCAACTGAAATTTGAGAGGGAGATGAACACAGGAGTCATTCCAACACAACACTAAAAAACACAGACATAGCTCCACTCTACAAAGGTGGCAGTAAAGCAATTTCAAAGAACTACAGACCGACAGCACAAGCCTTCTCTGCCATAGCTACACAGTATCTACTTTAGTGATACTATGAAAGGATATCGCAGAAGAAACAACATCAGTAAGAAAAGAATAACACCAAGGACCCTAGAACTCAACTTGTCTACCCAGCAGGATGCCGGTGTATCATCAACCCCCCTCACCACCACAACCCAGGGAACAACAACAAACATGGCTGACTCCCCCTCCAACTCCACTCCCTTCGAAGGATTCACCCATGATAACTCAGGTATGATTATTCCTGACAATATCAGGGACTACATCGTCACTCTAGAAAGTGAAATCAAAGATATTAAAGCAACACTTGCGCGACGAGAATCCAAAATAACCAACCTCGAGTACCCAAAATCCAAAACCCCTTTAAGAGAAGATTACATCGGGAAGTGCTGACACAGAAAATACTCTGAAAACAGCTATAGCCGTCACACTGAGCAAATAAACAAATCTAAATTTAAGGTTGAAGAGCAATCAAGGACTGGAATCAGAACTCGACTGAATGAATACCTTGATTTCCAAGACGGCAAAACTGAACAAGATAAGTTGTCTGATGCTGTTATAATAAACAGTCAACACATTCCTAGTGAAATAACCCAAGAACAGTGCAAAGAAACTGCTATCAGGATAATACAGGACCACGTAAAAGTTATCGTGCAAAACAATGAAATCAAAGAAACACGTTTGCTAGGAAAAAAGGTAGTAAACACAGTATTATGATCAGACTTCATTCATATGATAAAAGAAAGGACTTAATTAAATCAGCAATTACAATGAAAAATGGAGTGTTTCCCTCAACGAGCGTCTAACGAGAAAACGTCAAAACCTTCCATTCAGGTTGAGAAAACTTAAACAGGAAAACAAAATACATCAGTGTTTCACTCGAGATGGGAAAATACTAGTTAGAGAAACTTCAACAGGACAACAATATACCATCTCAAATGAACATGATTTCTCTACCTTCCTTAAAAAAGATGACATTTCTGTAACAGATTAGATAAGTGTCCTTAACACATATATACGTGTGATGCATATAGTGTACCTTACTATTACATTATTGTGCATTATTATTTTTTTTTCTTATACCAGCTACCTCAAATACTTTTTGCTTTTTAATTGCTATTAATTGTTCATAATTTTGTGTTGGAAGTCAAATCTTACTCCAAATTAGTGTTATTCATGGTTGCTACCTGTCCATTTAATTCTGTTCACCACTACTTTTTTTAGTCCCTTTTATACTGCATGTGCAATTAGTGTATATTCCAATTACATTATTGTGTGAGTCCCAAAACTATCTTTTGCTAGCTAGTACCAGCTACCTCATATTTCTCTACTTTTTATAGTGCAATTAATTGCTCAAATTATTATACATTACAAATCAGATCTTACTCCCTAATCAATATTATATCATAGTGACTATCTGTCCATTGAACTTTGTTTACCATTACTTAATTTAGTCCCTTATATATTTTCTCCTTTATTTTAGCTTTATATAACTACCTTAGTTCATATATTCACAAATGTTAAAATAATCAAAGTGCTATTCTCAGGTGCTAAAGTGTAATAAGTTCACTATTTTGCCATTATATTCCAAAGCTCATTTATTTTTTTTTTCTCCTCTTGTCCATATAGTCACATTTATTAAAATACTCAAGGTGCTATTGACTACCTCAGGTGCTACTCATTTTTGCTTTTAATACATTCTTTAATTATTATATTCATTAGCTCCCTTATTTTAGCTGTAAATATCTATTGTAGTTCATAAACTCACTTGTTAAAATAATTAAGTTGCTATTAGATGCTTAAGTGTATAACTGAATTATTTATTCTGTAACAATCCCTTTTTCTTTCAAATTTTTTACAAGTTTTAGATTCAATATAAATCTTATATCATTTTACTCAAAAAATCTAGCTTGTAAAATTACTCTCATCCTATGATTACAGGCATAGATCCTGATGTAAACTTTTTACAAAATGAATTACACGAATCAACCAGTAACTGTAATTACTATACAGCAGACCAAGCAAAGACATTACTCAGTGCAAACAATAACATAACCATCTTTAACTACAATGTCAGATCCTTGAGCAAACATTATGATGACCTCACAGCATTACTCAATTCCCTTCATTCCAATATATCCACCATCACACTCATATAATGCCTAGGCATAATAGAGGCTCTCTTTGCATTGCAACCCACTATTGTAAATATGAAATCTCAATGTACTGTTTGCAAAGACATAAAATAAATATGGTATACATTCCACCTAGTATTTTTTATGTGACTGACAGTTTCTGTTGAAGTGATATTTAATAGATATTTACGAATATCTAAGAGAAACATTTAAGCTTTTAAATAAAAAGAAACTAGAAAAGACTGAGTAACTCTTTTGTGCCTTATATTTCCAAGTTTGGAAGTCCCTTCTTATTCTATGAAGTGTTTTGTTATGGAGTGCACTAACATGGCTAAAAATGAAGTTTTGAACATTAACAATCACACATAAGAACAGGTAGGTTAAATGCCAAACATCTTTAGGATAACGGCCAAGAATAACTCTTTTTAAAGTGCTCATCTCTAAGAGCATGAAATTTCACTGTGGGCCTGCAACTCCATATTACTAGCTACAGTAAATGCTTATAAAGTTTGCATCAATAGTGTCCCTAAAAACCATCTCTAGCTATAGGTTTTCTTAAGTAGTCAAATTTATGTGCTTCTTCCGGCTTCTATCATCATCAGTAAACTGTAAATACCTAGGAATTAGTCAGCACTGATCTTACTACATTCCCCTCTTGTTACCCCTCTCTCACTACTCAGTATCCAGACATGAGAAAAAGACGATGGTACTACATATCAAAAACTGGTTAGTATGAAGCATGACAGTCTACAAACAAAGCGTACAAGTAAATTATAATGCCTTGGCACAAGATATACCATAGTTTGAACTTACCTTAAGTGCCCTTTGTGTCAGTTCCAAGGCAGAGTCATGGCGGATGTTAATGGAAGCTGTTAACTCAGAGAGGTTAGAAGTATTATTCTCCAACTGTGTCATCACAGTCTCAACCTCTCTGTACAAAAAAAAATCTATATGAAAAAGAACTTTCACACTGCATTTTCTTTATTTATAAAAATAGTACAGTACCAAACTATAATATACTGTATACAGTATAGTATACTACTGTTGCATATAGTTGCTTATTAACAAATACATTAATATTCAGTCATACATATTTAGTAAAAAGTAAGAGACTTTTTCTAATGCATACTTAAAACTTTTTATCCCAAATATTAAGGATATTTTTTATGTATTTATTAAGAGTTGTATAAAACAACACATTTTGATTTGAAAAATATGTGCCTTATTCACACCAATATTATCCATCTGCTATCTAATAAAGACCATTAAGAGTTCAGTAATGGGCTTCCTTCTGCACTGGTCACAAGTTAATGTTGAACCCTAAGCTTAACGACAACAGCTGAGGAAGAAGGAAACTGTACACCCCAGGGCATCTTATGCAGAAAGGGATTTTTCAAATCAAAACTTGCTATTCTATTTGTTGGAGTGCCGGAGGCCCACCTGGAAGTATTATCACCCCCACCACATGCTCAGTGAGGGAAGTGCTGAGTGGTGACAGAATTCTATGGGACTGATGGCTCAAACTCAATGAACAGGATGATCTACCACATATCTCAACCAAGGACTCAGACCTACCAGGGAAAAGAAAAGATGCCACCTAGAGAGGTATGCATCATGTAGTCAGATAATCTCAGTGGGATATTCAGAACAAAATCTTGTCATAAACTATGTCAGGAATGAGGCTATAAGGGTATGGTCAGAGAGAGAGAAATGGTAACAATATTGCATAAATAGCCAACTATATAAAGATATATAGCTCTCCATCATCTCATTCCTGATAGTGATGTTTCTAGTTGACAAGAGGTGGTACAGCTGGTGAGCTGCCACTAAATGGCTCCAGCTGTAGAAAGTAAAAAAAAAACGGATAATGAAAGCAAACCAAGTGGAAAAATGTGAAATAGTCCTAAGTGTGTTTAGACATCAGTGGAAGTGTGACTGCAGGCTATTTGTATCCCTAGTGGGTCAACAGAACCAAAACACAGAAAATAATGCATCTAACATATTCCTAACATTTTTGTTTAGTTTGGTGCTCAATGAACATGTGTCCCTGCTCCTCTGTCATGTTAAGCCTTAGGCATATGTGGAGATAAAGAACATTATCCATGGAGGCAAAAAGAGGAATGTATAAGAGTATAGTGGTGCCAACATTCTTATATGGGTATGAAGCAAAGGTTATGAATGTCACTGTAAGGAGAAGGCTGGAGGCAGTGAAGATGTTGTGTTTGATGGTAATGTATGATAGAAATTTCTTCTTTCTTTCAACACACCGGCCGTATCCCACCGAGGCGGGGCGGCCCAAAAGGAAAAACAAAAGTTTCTCCTTTTACATTTAGTAATATATACAGGAGAAGAGGTTACTAGCCCCTTGCTCCCGGCATTTTAGTCACCTCTTACAGCATGCATAGCCTATGGATGAAGAATTCTGTTCTACTTCCCCATGGAGATAAGAGGAAATAAACAAGAATAAGAACTAGAAAGAAAATAGAAGAAAACCCTGAGGGGTGTGTATATATATATGCTTGTACATGTATGTGTAGTGTGACCTAAGTGTAAGTAGAAGTAGCAAGACGTACCTGTAATCTTGCATGTTCATGAGACAGAAAAAGGGACACCAGCAATTCTACCATCATGTAAAACAATTACAGGCTTTCATTTTACACTCACTTGGCAGGATGGTAGTACCTCCCTGGGCAGTTGCTGTCTACCACCTACTACCTAGGATGATAGAAATATGCAGAAAATTTGTAGTTTGGAGATTAGGAGGAGGTGGAGAGTTAGTAAAAGTATTACCAAGGGAAACCATAGTACAGGTGGGGTTTGAACTCGCAGCAAATGAGTCGTAAAACTCCAGGCCAGCACGTAAGCCACTGGGCTGAGGAAGGGTTGTTGAGGTAGTTTGGACATTTAGAGAGGTTAGAGCAAAATAGGATGGTTTGGAGGGTGTATAAATCTATAGCAGAGGGAAGGCAGGGTTGGGGTAGCGCTAGGAAAGGTTGGAGGAAAAGGGTAAAGGTTGTTTTGTATGTGAGGAGCTTGGACATCCAGCAGGTTTGTGTGAGCATATTAGATAGGAGTGAGTGGAGGCAAGCAGTTTGTATGACTTGACATGCTGCTGGAGTGTGAGCAAGGCTACATTTATGAGAGAATTCAGTGAAACCGATCAACTGGACTTGAGTTGTGGATGTGGGAAGTACACTGCCTGCATTCTGAAGGAGGTGTGGAAGACAGCCGACGTTACAAAAACAGACTTTGTCGAAGAATCCACGGAAACAACATCAGAATTCAACTTTAATTTTTTTTTTTTTAACACTGAGGCAGGATGACTTTAAAATACAATTAGAAAAACTCATCACATGAAATAGAGACCCTTCAGAAGCATGCTCTAGAGGCATAGAATTAGGGATGATATGACTGAGATGTGTTAAGGGGAAACAAGAATAAATATAGGAAATGTAAATAATTGGTTTGGTAATAGCTGTGGATGAGTACAACAAACTCCCGAGTAATGTCGTTGAAGCTAAAATGTGTAGTTTTAAAAACAGGTTTGACAAATACATGAATAGATGTGTGTTGGACTTGACTAGCTTGGGCCAGTAGGCCTGCTGCACAGCTTCTTCTTTCTTATGTTCTTCTTAAGCCATAGATTCACTTTCCAAACAAGGCTACTAAATATTATTGCTATGATGTACATAGTTAAAAGTACCTGTATTTATCTAGTAAGTCATTCATGGAGTAGTCCTACCTGACTTGTCCTGAGGCAGATATTACAGCTTTCAATTCTAGTTCTTTAAGCTGAGATATTCTCTCCAGAGCTGCATGGTGTTCTTCCTTCATTCTTTCTATCATTCCTGAGTATAACTCTTTTGTACGTTCCACTGCCTGAGACCACTCAGACTTGATGCTTGCCAGCTGTGACTCATATGAAGATGCCAAATTCTCCTTCTCTTCCTTGCAAAATTAAGGCATTTTATGAATACTGGGAGCTACATAAATGAGAAAAGGAAGTTATTGTAATACATATGTCTATTCTTTGAAGTTCTGTTTCTTTGTTAACACACTGGCTGTCTCCCACTGAGGCAGAGTGACCCGGTGGGTCACTCTGCCTCGGTGGGGTTACTAGCCACTTGCTCCCAGCATTTTAATCACTTCTTATGACAATTATGGCTTATGGAGGAAGAATTCATCTCCACTTCCCCATGGAATAAAATTTTAATACCATAGTTAATTTTTAGTTTTAGTAAAAACTGTAAATAAATTCTTGCACAGAAAAATGTACTGATTGTCATCTAAAGGTTAAAAACAAATAATAATAAAAATAATAATTTTGATTTTTTTTTTATCCCTGAGTGCTCGTTCTTTCAAGAAATTTACAAGTGTATTTCTTTTTTTGGTCACCCTGCCTTGGTGGGAAACAGCCAATGTGTAAATAAAAATAAAAGTTACAAGAATGGGTTACAAATTATGAAGAACACGAGTCACAATAACATACACAAATGGTTTTAAGATGTTTTCGTCTGTCCTAATTACTGTCAAATTACAAATGAGTGAAAAAATAAGCAAAGACCAGAAGACCAGTAGGGAAGAAGGAAGTGGTGGCATACACAGCAGTAGCGGCAGCAAGAGCAGGAGCAGTAGCAGCAATATTAACTACAGTACTCGTAGTAGGAGTGATAGAACTAGTAACTGAGAGTGAACGTAGCACGTAGAAGTAACATAATTAATATTAACAGTAGATAAAAGTAGTAATTAAGAGTGTAGCAGCAGTAATGGAACTAATATTAATGGTAATAATATTAGTGCATAAGAACAAAAGAACAGAGAGCAGTGTAGCAAGTCTACTGGCTCACACTAAGGAAGATTAGTGGTAGAGCAATAAGGGTGAATTACACCTAGAGGCACTGGAGATCAAAGTAAACCCTTAATATAACACACTAATGGGAGAATGTCCAAGTCTCCATTAACCCTTTCAGGGTCCGTCCCGTAGATCTACGGCTTTACGTTCAGGGTCCAAACCGTAGATCTACGCCATGAGCTCAGCTCACTCTGATAAACTGTGAGTGGTACATTTGGGCCTAGATATGAGAGAATACATCTATGTGGTATGTGTGCACCACATAAAACAGATCCTGCAGCACACTGTGTATAATGAGAGAAAAAAAATGAAATCATGATTTTTCTATTAAAACAGCAACTTTGCAGTGTTTTTTCGTATGTTTTTTATAGTTGTATTTGCGATTTCTTGGTCTCATTTGATAGAATGGAAGACATATTACAGAAATAGAGATGATTTTGATTGGTTTTAGCATTGGAAATGGCTTGAAACTGAGCTCAAAGTAGCAGAAATGTTAAATTTTTGCCGATATTCAAGAGTAAACAAACGACCTCACACATCTAATACACGTCAGCTGGTGGGTCTAATATACATTCACAAATATGATGATGATATTTATACAATTATTACAGTATTGCATATGAGTAAATCTTCTATTTTTTGGTGTGAATAAAAATTCATTATGTGAATAAAAAATCAAAATGGAATTTATTTGTAAAGCCTCAAAACATAACTAATGAACAGAGGAAATGTTAGTTTAGTGCCAGGAATGCCTACATTGTTCATTCTGGACCCTATTTTGAAATTGGAATATTTTGAACTTTGTGTTAAATTGGCCAAATTAACAATTTCCGATCACTTTATTTTGTAGTTGAAACAGTTGACTTGGCGATTTCTTGTGCTCAATCGATAGAATAGAAGTAATACTAGTGAAATAGCTAAGAATTTGGTTGATTGGAATAATGTAATTGGCCTAAAATGGGAGTCAAAGTCGGCAAAATCGCCGATTCGTAAATATCGCTGACACATCAAAATTCGCGAGAGCATAATTTCGTCAATTTTCCACCAAATTTCGTACTTTTTGTTTTATTACCTTCACAAAAAGATTCTCTACGATTTCATAAGAAAAAATAACAAATTTTTTTTTTGAAAATTCTTGGACACTGGTGCGTGACTCCAGATTTGGGCCTTGGACCCTAAAAGGGTTAAAAAAAAAAGAGCAAAAAAAAAAAAAAAAAAAAAGCACTAAAATACACTACTGCATACCTAATATAATACTGCACACACAATTTGCAGATATAGTGCAATACACACTGAAATTACAGGAATTAAAAGTAAAACTTACCCAGTGGATTTTTCCCATAATTTTAAAAGTCCATTATATTGAGGGTTTACTGTGACTTAACACTAACACCTTCATTCAAGAGGCAGAAAAGCACTGCAGTAGGCCTACTGATACAATGCCAAGAAAGAAAAAGGAAGCCTGAATGGAGAGAGAAAACAAGAGAGGCAGAGGAAATACTGAAGATGCATCAAGAAAAAAAGGCAAGGAGGCAGCAAAGGCCAGGTCAAGATTCTAGCTTTTGACAGTATACTGAGAAAGGCAGATATCTACAGGAACAAACCCAGAACTAAGATTCATGCTAGGAAAGTTATGTATAAGAGATGATTCAATAAGATGGCATCTGTGAAGACAAGGGTAAATAGATTTACCAGAGGAACAATTTACAGGATGACTGCCATTATTACTAATTCAATTACTACTACAGTGGACCCCCACATACCGTTGGCCTTACATAACGTTAAATCCGCATACCGATACAATTTATCGCTAAGATTTTGCCTTGCATACCGCTAAAAAACCCGCTCAACGCTATTCGTCCGAGACGCGTCTATGTGAGGCCTGAGCCAGCCTCACATGTTCCGCCGGTGGCATTGTTTACAAGCCAGCCTCCGCGGTAATATCCAAGCATACAATCGTAACATTTCGTATTATTACAGTGTTTTTGGTGATTTTATCTGCAAAATAAGTGACCATGGGCCCCAAGAAAGCTTCTAGTGCCAACCCTGTGGTAAAAAGGGTGAGAAATATTATCGAAATACTGTGGTACCATGGTCAACTGCTGATGCTGCTGCTGCTGTAGCACTGTCAGCTGCTGCTGCTGCTGTAGCACCATCAGCTGCTGCTGCTGCTGTACCACCGTCAGCTGCTGCTGCTGCTGTTGTAGTACCATCTGCTGCTGCTGCTGTTGTAGTACCATCTGCTGCTGCTGCTGCTGCTGCTGTAGTACCGTCTGCTGCTGCTGTAGCATCGTCTGCTGCTGCTGTAGCATCGTCTGCTGCTGCTGTAGCACTGCCAGCTGCTGCTGCTGCTGCACTGTCAGCTGCTGCTGCAGCACTGTCAGCTGCTGCTGTAGCACCGTCAGCTGCTGCTGCTGCTGTACCACCGTCAGCTGCTGCTGCTGTTGTAGTACCGTCTGCTGCTGCTGCTGCTGTAGTACCATCTGCTGCTGCTGCTGCTGCTGTAGCATCATCTGCTGCTGCTGTAGCACTGTCAGCTGCTGCTGCACTGTCAGCTGCTGCTGCTGCTGCTGTAGCACCATCAGCTGCTGCTGCTGCTGTACCACCGTCAGCTGCTGCTGCTGTTGTAGTACTGTCTGCTGCTGCTGTAGCATTGTCTGCTGCTGCTGTAGCACTGTCAGCTGCTGCTGTAGCACTGTCAGCTGCTGGTGCTGCTGTAGCACTGTCAGCTGCTGCTGCTGCTGTACCACCGTCAGCTGCTGCTGCTGCTGCTGTAGTACAGTCTGCTGCTGCTGCTGCTGCTGTAGTACCGTCTGCTGCTGCTGTAGTACCGTCTGCTGCTGCTGCTGTAGTACCATCTGCTTCTGCTGCTGCTGCTGCTGCTGCTGCTGTAGTACCGTCTGCTGCTGCTGCTGTAGTACCATCTGCTGCTGCTGCTGCTGCTGCTGCTGCTGCTGTAGTACCGTCTGCTGCTGCTGCTGGTAGTACCGTCTGCTGCTGCTGTAGCATCGTCTGCTGCTGCTGTAGCACTGTCAGCTGCTGCTGCTGCTGCTGTAGCACTGTCAGCTGCTGCTGCTGCTGCTGCTGTAGCACCGTTGTTGGAGTGGCTTATTGAGAATACCAAGAAACAATTAACCCCAGAGGGTTAGCCACCCAGGATAACCCAAAAAAGTGTGTCATCGAAGACTAACTTATTTCCATTGGGGTCCTTAATCTTGTCTCCCAGGATGCAACCCACACCAGTCGACTAACACCCAGGTGAACAGGGAAAAACGCCTGGAACTAGTGCTCATATTGGTGAATTTAAAGCCAGCAAAGGTTGGTTTGAGAGATTTAAGAATCGTAGTGACATACACAGTGTGATAAGGCCTGTTCTGGAAGAAAATGCCAAACAGGACCTACAGTACTCAGGAGGAAAAGGCACTCCCAGGACACAGTGTCTCATCAGTCATTGCTGCATCTTCAATAAAGGTAAGTGTCATTTATTCTTCATTTACTATTGTGCATGTATCCTTCTCTTTGTGTGTAGGAAAATGTATATTTCATGTGGTAAAAATTTTTTTTTCATACTTTTGGGTGTCTTGCACGGATTAATTTGATTTCCATTATTTCTTATGGGGAAAATTCATTCGCATAACGATAATTTCGCATAACAATGAGCTCTCATGAACGGATTAATATCGTTATGTGGGGGTCCACTGTACTACTACTACACTGCTGCTGCTGCCGCAACTACTACCACCACCACTTGCACCACCACTACCACCACCACTTGCACCACCGCTTGCACCACTACCACCACCACCCACGCCACCACTACTACCATCATCATTCCCTCCTTTTCCCTCTCTCTTCTCTGCATTTTCTCAGTTGTGACTTGACAGTGGCCCATAGTTATGCATGCAATTTTGGCAGAGATAAACCAGAACTAAAAATAGGATGTTTGGGCAACTGTGTAACTTTGGTCTAATGATAGAAATGTAGGAATAAGTTTTCTGTAGAACTAAGTAGTAGTGATGGCCCTGCAGATTAACCCCTTCAGGGTCCAAGGCCAAAATCTGAAGTGGTGCTCCAGTGCCCAAGAAATTTTGAAAAAAAAAAAAAAATTATTTTTTCTTACAGAATTAAAGAGTATATTTTTGTGAAGGTAATAAGACAAAAAAAAAAATTCTGATCAGTACTTACCGAGATACAGTGCTGAGAAGTTTACCCCAAATGATGTGGTGGTGGCAACAGCGACGATTTCCACATACGCACGTTACTTTGTTTACCGTTTTTTGTAGTTTTTTCTTTACTTTTCTAATTTTTTTCTTTTCCTACTAACATTTGGGGCCTGGGAGACAAATACTGTATATAATGTGTATATATATAAACTCACTGTATTGAACACAATAACCGCACTAAAGTTATTATCATATTATTGTTTACCACTGTTGTTTATTACAATAAACATGCACAAATCTTGTATAATACTAATGTTCTATCATATATTTACATATTTACAATCACTGGACATGTTTTTAGAACTGCTGGAGCTTGTGGAACTCCTTGAAACAAGGCACCATGCACAGAGGTACCTTACATTCCTCACACATAAACCGAGTGTCTTTGTGTCTTTGTTGCCGTCATTTTGTTTGTGCACAGACGATGCATCTCTTCTGAGCAAATTTCTTCTGTGTTGAAGGAAGCTGTATTATGAAATGATCACCATGATCACCTTCCCTCCTCAAACGCTTGGGTATATCTTGAGGAGTTTGAGGACCTTGTTGTATAGCAGGTGTTGTGACCTTGTACGTACTTCATTATGAGTTGTCTGACAACAAACAAAATTCACCATACGGTGGTCTGTTGCCAGTCTTAATTTGGTACATATTATATGCATTGAGCACTGAAATGTCCATGAGATGGAAGAAAAATTTCATGTACCACTTGTAACTCTTACGAACACAATCAACAATCAACAAAGCCAATCTGCATGTCACATTTGTCAACCAAGCGCATGTTTTGTGTATAATCAATCACTGTCACTGGTTTTCGAACACGTTCATTAGTCACTCGATCAACTTTCCCACTGTCTTGCATTTCATTACAGTGAATGGTTGTCAACAATGTGACATCTCGTTTGTCATGCCACCATAATGCCATGATGTCATTGGCAGTAAACACCTGCATGTCATCACCACGAGCACCTGCGTTGAGCCTGGACATATGTTTATGATTAGAATGCACTGTGCCACACACATCTGTCTTGTTCACTCGCAAGAAATCACTGAGTAATGGGCTTATGTACCAGTTATCAGTATAGAATGTATGCCCCTTACCAAGATAAGGTGCCACCATGCTTCTCACTACGTCACCTGAGATACCCAATAATATCTTGGTATCTTTCAATGTTTTACTTCCGTGTATACAACAATATCCAACACCAGGCAACTGTCACAATCACAGAGTACAAACAGTTTTACACCAAAGCATTTCCTCTTGCTCGGTATATACTGCTTGAATGACAGTCTACCTTTGAACAAAATCAAAGACTCGTCAATTACAAGATTCTTGAATGGATAAAAGTACATGCTGAACTTTTGTTTGAAATACATAAAAACATTTCTAATCTTGTATAACCTGTCACTTCTGTCAGGCCTGGTTTTGTCAGAGAAGTGCAACATACGTAACAGTAAGATAAACCTGTTCACTGGTATGATTTCACTGAAGACCGGGGTAGAAATTAGCCGATCTGTGGACCAGTATGCTTTTATATTATGCTTATAGACATGAGGCATAAGCATTATTGTTGCAAAAAGCAAATACATTTCTGCAACAGTCGTCTCTTTCCACCGGTGTAGTCTTGACTGTGGTGATATGATCGTATTTGCCATGGTGTACTCAAAATACTTATTACTTTCCCTGACAATAGTTTCCATCAAGGGCTGGTCAAAGAATTCCAGTTCACTTGCAGTGTTTCCAAGAGAACAAGCTGGTAGAATTCCACTTTGAGAGTCATCAAACTGGTGGGGCTTGGGAACAAAATTGGGATTTTGCTGCCAATCCTAGATACGGTTTGCTGGTGGGTACTGGACATCACAGGCTGGTTGTGCGGGTGGTTGTGGTTGTGGTGGGCTGGTGGCTGACGCTCCGCTTTGTCCTTGAACTGCGGAATCAGCAGTGTGGGTCCCAGCCTGGGCTGGTGAGTCACGCATGGCCGTGGCACTACCATCACCACTACCACCACCTACTGATGCCTGTGGTCTATCCATGCCAAGTGTAGCCACATCATCCTCACTATCACTATCTATACCTGGTGTAGGGCCACGGGATGTACTCCGGGATGTACTCTGGGATGTACTCCGTCCCCTGGGCACAGCATAGGGTACACTACCCGAGCGCATGCGGCGGTGAACATACTGACGCTTCGCTGGTGAATACGATTCCTCACTATCACTACTCGAGTGATCGTCAAGAGCAATAAAATCACAATCCACATCACTATCATCATCATTACTGAAGTCAGAGGTCTGGCCACGTGAAAATAATAGTTTTCTCTTGCGTTGAAGTACAACCAACCGTGACTGACGAGTGCCCACACCAGGGTTTTCTGCACTATTATCGATATCCTGGTCATTCCTTTCAGTCACTAACTGATCAAAGCCAAAGAATTCGTCTTCATTTCCACTTCCATCAGTGTCAGAACTATCAGATAGGAAGAGGAGAGTCCCAATTTTCCTTGGAGTGACAGCTGCCTTGCGACGAGGCATGGTGAACAAGGGTAACTGAGCCGGCATTCCCACAATGCCATGTGGGCACCTAGATTTTTTTGTTTATGGCGCACACCCACCATGCAGACCCGTTCTCTCACATGTAGGCCTATGAGCGTTTTCGGGCTAAATTTGACGGCACTAGAATTTTGGCGTAGATCTATGGTTTGGACACTCAACGTGAAGCCATAGATCTACGGGACGGACCCTGAAAGGGTTAAAGAATAAAATTACCTGAACTAATGACATTTTCATCTGGAAGTCAGACAACAAACTATCACGTTCTTCTCTCAACCTCTTCTCCACCCGATCCCACACCTCCTTCTCCACCTCCATTGTTCTCCTGAAAAGATTAAAAACAGAAGAAAATTTGCCGTATATACATTTAGGAAGTGGTATTTCAGATTTCAATATTATACACACCATTAGTCTTGAAATGAGTTATGTACTTTAGAAAAAACTAGAGCTGTTTGGCTAATCAATATTTTTAACATAAAAAGTTGCTATCATTACCTCACTGTCTTCATTACAAAATTTCAGCTACTTTTATAACATACTACTAATATCATGAGATAAAATGAAAGGCAACTTATAGATAGAGAAAAAGTAAAAATTAATATTTCTAAAACTCAACTCTATTAGACAACTGATAGGAATTTGCTAAAAAAGTACAGTAGGTAATCTATTTTTTTTTTATTAACACATCAGCTGTCTCCCACCAAGGCAGGGTGGTCCAAAAAAAGAAAAACTTTCATCATCATTCACTCTATCATTGTCTTGCCAGAGGTGCACTTACACTACAGCTATACAACTGCAACATTAACACCCCTCCTCCAGAGTGCAGAGACTGTACTTTCTGTTTCCAGGACCCAAATCCAGCCTGCTGATTTTCCTGAATCCCTTCATAAATGTTACCTTGCTCACGCTCCAACAGCACTTCAACTCCTAAAAACCATTTATCTCCACTCACTCCTATCTAACACGCTCACGCATGCTTGCTGGAAGTCCAAGCCCCTCGCACACAAAACTTCCTTTACCTCCTCCCTCCAACCTTTCCTAGGCCGACCCCTACCCCGCCTCCCCTCCACTTCAGATTTATACACTCCTCAAGTCATTCTATTCCCTTCCATTCTCTCTACATATCCAAACCACCTCAACAACCCCTCCTCAGCCCTCTGGATAATAGTTTTAGAAATCCAACATTTCCTCCTAATTTCTAAACTACGAATTCTCTGCATTATATTCACACCACACATTGCTCTCAGACGTGACATCTCCACTGCCTCCAGCCTTCTCATTGTTGCAACATTCACCACCCATGCTTCACACCCATACAACAGCACTGGTATAACTATACTCTCATACATTCCCCTCTTTGCTTCCATGAACAAAGTTCTTTGTCTCCACAGACTCGTCAGTGCACCATCAATTCTATGATTCACCTCATCTTTCATAGACCCATCTGTTGACACATCCACTCCTAAATATCTTAATACATTCCCCTCCTCCATACTCTCTCTCTCTAATCTGATACCCATTTTTTCGTCACCTAATTTTTTTGTTATCCTCATCACCTTACTCTTTCCTATATTCACTTTTAAATTTCTTCTTTTACATACCCTACTAAACTCATCCGCCAGCCTCTGCAACTTGTCTACAGAATCTCCCAAAAGCATAGTGTCATCAGCAAAGAGCAACTGTGACAACTCCCACTTTGTATTCTTTATCTTTAACCTCACACCTCTTGCCAACACCTGCACATTCGCTTCTCTTACAACCCCATCTATAACTATATTGAACAACCATGGTGACATCACACTCCTTATCTAAGGCCTACTTTTACTGGGAAATAAACTCCCTCTCTCCTACATACTCTCACTTGAGCCTCACAATCCTTGTAAAAACTCTTCACTGCTTTCAGTAACCTACTTCCTATTCCATACATTTGCAACATCTGCCACACTGCCCCCACCCCCATCCACCATGTCATATGCCTTTTCCAAATCCATAAATGCCACAAAAACCTCTTTACCCTTACCTAAATACTACTCGCCTATATGCTTCACTGTAAACACTTGGTCCATACACCCCCTACCTTTCCTAAAGTCTCCTTGTTCATCTGCTGTCCTACTCTCCATCTTACTCTTAATTCTTTCAATAATAACTCTGTCATACACTTTACCAGGTATACTCAACAGACTTATTCCCCAATAATTTTTGCTCTCTCTTTTGTTCCCTTTGCCTTTATACAAAGGAGCTATGCAGGTTCTCTGCCAATCCCTAGGTACCTCACCCTCTTCCATACATTTATTAAATAAAAACAACAACCACTCCACAACTATATCCCCACCTGCTTTTAACATTTCCATCTTTATCCCATCAATCACAGCTGCCTTATCCCCTTTCATTGTACCCACTGCCTCACGAACTTTCCCCACACTCACAACTGGCTCTTCCTCACTCCTACAAGATGTTATTCCTCCTTGCCCTATACATGAAATCACAGCTTCCCTATCTTTATCAATATTTAACAATTCCTCGAAATATTCCCTCCATTTTCCCAATACCTCTAACTCTCTATTTAACCCTTAAACTGTCTCAATGTAGATCTACACGTTTGTCCCGCTAGCGCTCCAAATGTAGATCTACGTTTTATTTTTCCTGCCTCCAAATTTGGCATGACTGGCCTGAGATGCCTGGTCCATGTAGAATTGGTCTTAACACTCGGTGTGTGCAGTACTGAAAAAATCTGGGACCACTTAGTACCTTATGGTAGCACCAGTTCAATTGAGTGCCAGCTAGAGCAAATAGTGTGGCAAACACCAGGGATTCACTTATATCATGTCATATTAACATTCCTCTTTTAAGAGGAAAGTGATGGATGCGGCCACAAGTGGTCGAGGGGCCCTTTGATTGAACATAGTTCAATCAAAGGGCCCCCATTATCATTTACACCTGGCACCCCAAACTTGCCTACCACACCCTCTCCAAATGCTTCTCCTACTTTAGTATTTAGGTCCCCTACCACAATTACTCTCTCACTTGGTTCATAAGTTCCTATACACTCACTTAACATACCCCAAAATCTCTCTCTCCTCTACATGCCTCTCTTCTCCAGGTGTATACTACACACTTATTTTGACCCACTTTTCACAGCCAACCCTTACATCTAAATCACTGTCATTATTATGAAAGCTTCAAACTTCACAGTAGTTTTAGGTAATCTATAATGCAACAGTTACATACCAGAGAGCTAATAGGGGCATTGTGAAAAGTTTGATTTCAACCAACAAATAATAGAACCAACTAGAAAATACACGGGATTTAATTGTCACAATGAGGAACTAATGAGACATAATAACAACCTCAAATACAATATACTCGGATTATATGCATTGAGGCTGTTGCAGTGTGAGTAAGGTAACATTTTCCAAAGGAATTCAGGGAAACCAGTTAGCTGGACTTGAGTCCTGGAGGTTGAGAGTACATTGCCTACACTCTAAAGGAGGGGTGATGATATTTGCAGTTTGAAGTGTCATGTAAGCCAGGAAAAATGATGGGATGAATAATGATAGCTTTCAAAACTAGGAAAATATTGCCAATGGTGACACTTTCCAATCTTATGCTTTCTCACCCAGTCTTACTGAGTGTTGATGGCTCCATTCAGGAGTGGCGAGATATCAGATATGCAACAGATGGAGAGATCATCTATGGCCTGCACAGAGTAAGAAAAGTCTTTAAATTACTACGAATGCCTCAAAGTTCTAAATATATACTCATTGGAGTATATATAATATATATATGGCAGTTTGGAGGGATATATTGTGTATTTTTATATGTATATACTTCTAAACTGTTGTATTCTGGGCACCTCTGCAAAAACAGTGATTATGTGTGAGTGAGGTGAAAGTGTTGAATGATGATGAAAGTATTTTCTTTTTGGGGATTTTCTTTCTTTTTGGGTCACCCTGTCTCGGTGGGAGACGGCTGACTTGTTGAGAGAGAAAAAAAAAAATGGAATAGACTTGAAGACCTAGTCCCAAAATTTACAAAATGCCCTAACAACACAATGGCATGAGAGATATGTTAGAAAATGTAAAATAAACCTAATAAAAAGCAGGAGTGATATGGGTATAAAATAAAACACTGTATCAACATCTGCAGGCCCAGACTATTTAACATCTTACCAGAGGATCTCAGAAATACTGCCAGAACAAGTGTGTACATTTTTAATAGCAAACTCAACAAGTACCTCTGCCAGGGGCTGTTTCAACTAAGCTGTGATGGATATGTAGACAGGTAACTGCCAGCAGCAATAGCCTGGTTGACCAGGCAAATGCCAGACAAGCCTGGTCCAGGGCAGGGCCGCAGGAATAGGAAAACTCTAAAAATTACTCAGAGATATATCAAAGGTATGTATGCTGCATGGACACAGAATAACAGCCTATGAATGTTAACTGATACAAAGTCTTACCTATGACCTTCCTCCAGTAATGCCACTTCTTCTGCATGTTGTTTACGAAGAAGATTCAGTTCAGTCTTCAATTTTTCAACTTCTACTTCTGCTGCTCTTAAGTCAATCTTGGAAAAATAATATGAACTTACAATGTAAATTTTAAAGAGAATGTATTCTGTCATCAACAAGACAACTGCAATACTGTGTAATATTGACCATTTCACTGTCTCATATGTAGATCTATATTACTGATTCCATTGTCTTAATCACATTACCCTTAAATATGCTGTGAGTAGTAAATTTTGGACTAGACTTCTGAGAATTTTATTGAGTAGGTCTTGTGCTCAATTGAACAAAAGATAACTAGTGACATAACTAAAAATTAAGTCAAACTGATCAGTGGAATTGGTTTAACCCCTTGACTGTCGCAACCCCAAATCCTGAGGTGTCTCCTGGTGTCGCAAATTTTCCGAAAAAAAAAAAAATTCTTATGAAATGATAGAGAATCTTTTCCCGATTGTAATGATACCAAAAAAAAAACGAAATTTGATGGAAAACTGACGGAATTACGCTCTTGCAAAGTTAGCGACCTCAGCGATATTTACGAATCAGTGATTTTGCCCACTTTGAGCCCTATTTTTGGCTAATTCCATTGTTCCAGTCAACCAGACTCATAGCTATTTCTTTAGAACTCCATTTTTTCTATTGACTGAGTACAAGAAACTGCCCATTTACCGATTTCAACTACCCAATAACATGGTCAGATATTTGCAATTTGACCAATTTCACAAAAATTAAAAAAATATGACGATTTCAAAACAGAGTCCAGAATGAACAATGCAGACATTCCTGGCTCTAAAATAACATTTTCTTTGTTCATTAGTCACGTCTCCAAGCCCCTCTGATATTACTCTTGCTTTCTATTTTGAATTTTTATTCAAACAAAAAATAGAAGATTTACTGTTATGCAGACTACTGCAATATTGTAATAATTGTATAAATAATGTTAACCCATTCATGACTGCATATTAGAATGGCTACTTGGACATTTATTGGAAAATGACATCATTTGTTTACTTTTGAACATCAGCAAAAATCAAACATTTCCCCTACTTTGAGCTCCATTTCAAGGTTCTTTTCATAGCAAAACCAATCAAAATCATCTCTACTTCTATATGTTTTCCATTCAATCAAATGAGACCAAGAAAACGAGAATACAACCATAAATACTATACGAAAATAGACCACAAAGTCGGCATTTTAATTAAAAAAAAAAGTCGGAGCTTTTTTTTTGTCATTATGCACTGCTGCAGGATTTTTTTTATATGGTGCACACTGACCACACAGACCCATTCTCTCACATGTGGGCCTACCAGCTTTCTCCTGCTTGATTTGAAGCCACTAGAATTTATGAGTATATATACGTCAAACACGGTGGCTCGTAAGATGTATATATACGACCGAAACAGTCAAAGGGTTGAAGTAGGATTCAAATTTGGCAAAAGTGCTGATGAGTAAATTTCACCAGATCACCAAATTTGTACTTGGGTAATTCCATAAGTTTTCCATCAAATTTCACATTTTCAGTGTCATTACCTACAGAAGGAAAACTTTTTTTTTTTAAAAACCATAACACTGTCAACACTTTTAATTCCACAGGTCACATCAGTGAGAGGGTTAAACAATTACAGTATTAAGGAAACTAAGCTTTGCTGCATGTGAGTAAGACTATAACTTCACTGTCCTTTATCTGTGACAGCATTTAAAATTAATTATGAGCTGGTCCTATCCAATCAATACTCACAGACAAGAGCCTTGCATGGCACTGATGTCTGTACTTACACATGTACTTCAAGAACACTGTCAATATCAAATAATTTCCATGCATTAATACTGAAAATGTGCATTATCAAAATTCTTCATTGCATCCAACACTGCCACCACATTTTCACATTAATACACACAGTGAATGGCCAGATCTTCCCATAAATGCACACCTATACTCCTTCCAATAATCGTACCATTTTATAAGTGCCACAGTTATTGTTCACTTACCTCAACTTTCTGGTGATTCTCTGAATTATTTAATTGGATGGAAGTGTTTAAAGGCACTGTTGAGACTGCATCCTTACATCTGCAGAAACAAAGATGAACATATGTACAGTATTCAGTGGGAGTCTCCTAATTCACCTAAGTCAAAATAAAACAAGCCAATCAATACAAGATCAGCAATGGGAGATAGACTTTTGCAAGTCTAAAAATAAAGAAGAGGTTTGCAAGTGAACTCGAACATAATAACAAAATGAATTTCATAGAAAACCAATGAGGTAAATGAAGGATTCTTGAAAATTTAACTCTTAGCTACTGAAGGAAACTGGTAACAGAAGGAAAATAACTACCAAAAAAAAGATTTAATAACAACAGAGAGATATAATGAGGAAACATCAAATCAACAAGATCTGAATATATTTAGAAAATTGCAACACTGAAGAATACACAACAGAACTAATGATAAGCATACAGTATTGGAGAATACCATAAGTGAAGGACAAGATCAGACAGTTATGACTGACTTTCACTCAAGCTAAACTTAAGGAAGAACTACGTAAGAGTGTGTGAGAGATGAAAGAAAATTAAAAGGCAAAGGCAACATATCAATTATTTATTTATTTATTTATTAATTAATTTGAACATGATACAGTGAAGTACAAATCCACGTAGATATTTTCTGTAATTCGGTATTTACAGTATTGGCTAGCGTGACTGGGCTCGGGTGAGAGAAGACGTATGTAGTGTCATCTGCAAATAGTGTGGGTTTGAGTAGTTGGGCTGTATTAGGTAGGTCATTTATGTATATGAGAAAGAGAAGAGGGCCTAGAACACTTCCCTGTGGGACACCAACTGTAATTGGCTGTGCTGAAGAGTTTGCCCCATTTGTGTACACATATTGGCTTCTGTTGCTGAGGTAAGACTTTAGGTAGTTGAGGGAGTGCCCTCTTATACCATAGTGCGACAATTTTATATGGAGCAAGTCATGGTCAACTGTATCAAAAGTTTTACGTAAGTCTATGAAGGTCCCCAGTGGGACTTCTTTTTTCTCTATTACAGTGTATGTGTGTTCTAGCATGTGTATAATAGCATCATTAGTATTTTTATTAGGCCTGAACCCAAATTGACAGGGGTTGAGTTGTTGTGGGAGATGAGGTAGGAATAGATTCGCTTATGAATTAATTTTTCGAAGATTTTAGAGAGAGGGTGTAAGTTGGATATTGGCCTATAGTTATTCAAGTCTGTTTGGTCTCCTCCTTTATGGATCGGGGTGACCCTTGCTATTTTGAGAACTGTAGGGAAGGTAGAGGATTCTATGGATTTGTTAAAGAGTGTTGCAATGATTGGTGATAGTACTTGTGATGCTTTTTTGTATATAAAGGGTGGTAAGGTATTTAAATATCCTGTCTTGTGTTTTAGTGTGTTGATAATAAGGGAGACTTCAGTAGGGTTAGTCGGAGCTAGGAACAGTGTGTTCGGGTAGTTGCCAGTGAGGTAGTCATTGGGTGGGGTACCTGAGCTTGGGATTTTATTGGCAAGGTTTTTTCCTATAGTGGAGAAGAAATTATTGAGTCTGTTTGCTGTTTCTGTTGGTGGGAGTTGGGGTTCATCTGGTTTTGTTAATTCAATTTCGCTATTTCGTGATATCTTTTTTGTTCCTAGAATTGCTGATAGGGTTTTCCAGGTCTTTTTTATATCACCTCGTAAGTTGGATAATCTGTTCTCATAATACAGTTTTTTAGCCCTTCTTATCATTCTGGTTAGGATTGACGAGTAACGTTTTGTTTGGTCTCTGGTTATGTGACCCATTCTGTACTGTTTTTCGTATAGGTGTTTTGTATTTATGGATTTGAGAATGCTGGGTGTTAGCCAGGGACTGTTCAGTCTCTTAGCTGTCATCTATTTAGTTTTTTGGGGGCAGTGCTTGTTATAAAGGTATTGGGTCTTTTTTAGAAAATTATTAATACATTCGTCAATATCTGTATAGATTTCTAGCTCAGTGTGCCAGTCAATGTTTGTCACTGCTGCTGTGAAGTTATTAATGGCTGCCTCATTGTGAAGTCTGAAGGTGGCTTTAGTAGTGTCTTGGGGACCTGCACAAGGAATAACGGGTAAAAAAGTAAAAGAACATGTTGATTCTGACAATAAGCAAAACAGTGAAGACAGGATGAAGAAAAGAACTCTTTTTCTACAGAGCTGGCAGTATCTTCTGATCTGTGTGCATTTAAAGAAAATCGACTAACTGTTAAGAACTAAATCAAAATAAAAGAAAATTAAAACAGAAACTTATTTATATATTTTTTAAATACAAATACATGAACAGCTTCTCCTCACTTAACAACAGAGTTCTGTTCCTAAGACCACATCAGTAAACGAATTTGTCGCTAAGTGAGGAGAATATTTACTATGATGGTAGTAGGTTTGTGTCAGCCATCTTTGACACTGTTTTAATGTCACCTTTGCACCATTTATAACATTTCTGGTATATTTTTAAAAGTTTATAGAAAAGTGAACTGTATATTGTAATAAACAGAATGGAGGAAATCAGCTCTCATATACGTTATTTAGGTATGCATACTGGTCAGCAAGCCTGTCGTAAGTCCAAGTCATCGGTAAATGCATACAGTGGTCCCTCGATAATCGTCCGGCTCGATAGCCGTCCTTTTCGGAAATCATCGCGTTATTTTCGTCCAAACATTGGCTTGCAAATGGTCGGTTGACTCGCTAATTGTCTTTTGTCCTGGACCCATACTCACGGCTCTGAGCCGCCTCGGCCTCCCTTCCCAGCCAGTGTGCCATTGTTTACCAGTGAGCGACTGGTCCCCTCATTTGTTCATACAAAATATTTCATAATATTCCATTCATTTTAGTGCTTGCAAGTGCTAAATAAGCTACCATGGCTCCAAAGAAAGCTCCTAGTGCCAAGCCTTTGGTAAAGAAGGTGAGAAATACGACTAAATTTAAGAAAAACATCAGTGAACAATATGAAAGTGGTGTACGTGTGGCCGAAATGGCCAGGATATATAACAAATCCCGTACAACCATATCTTCCATTGTGGCCAAGAAAAAGGAAATCAAGGAAGCTGTTGTTGCAAAGGGGGTAAATATGCTGACAAAAATGAGATCATCAGTACTCGAAGATGTTGAGAAGTTATTATGGTGTGGATAAACGAGAAACAATTAGCAAGAGCTTTAGCAGGAACAGCAACAGATTGCAGCTCAGAATCTTGCTGCAGAGGAGGAGGAAGAGAGATGGAAGAAGGTGCTTTCTTCAGAAATTAAGGAGATTTTTGAAATGTGGGGTAGGATGGAAAGATTTATGGAGAAACATCACCCTGAGAAGGATGTTGCAAGCCATATCGGCAACTTGTACAGTGACAGAGTCTTGGCCCATTTTAGGGAAGTTTTAAAGAGACGCCAGAAACAGAGCTCTCTGGACACTTTTTTTGCGAGACAGGACTCCAGTGACTCTCAAGCTGGTCCTAGTGGCATTAAGAAACAGAGAAGAGAAGTAACCCCAGAAAAGCACTTGGTACCTGAGGTGTTGATGGAAGGGGATTCCCCTTCCAAACAGTAACTAATTCAATCTCTCTCCTCCTCCAGTCTCCCATACACTTTGAAGAATCACCAATAAAGGCAAGTGTTATGCTGTTAATGTTTCATTCATCATGTGCCATTGTATTGTTTATGTACTACATCTATATTTCATGTAAAAAAAAATTTGTTTTAATACTTCTAGGTGTCAGGAACGGATTAATTGTATTTACATTATTTCTTATGGGGAAATTGTGAACTAAGAGACATGTGCCAACCTAGTAACTTACCAGAAATTAGAAGAAAAAGCCAGAAATACAATATACAAAAGTATGAAAGGAGGAAGAAACAAGTTTTGAAAAAAGATATACAGTAGCAGTAAATAAGAAAAACACAGGATGTATGGTAAATCATTATTTAACTCCTTGAGGGTCGGTCACGTACATGTACAGTGGAACCCCAAATTTCGGCTGTAATCCATTCCAGGAGCTAGGCCTAAACTTGAAACAGCCAAAAGTCGAAGCAGTATTTCCCATGAGAAATAATGTAAATACAATTAATCCGTTCCAGACCCACAAAAAATACATTATTTAAAGAATAACTATAGTTTAACATACATATAGCACTTAAAACATACATATAGTATTAAATGAGTAATACTTAAACAAACATTTAAATAAACATTTAATATCACATTTACGTACCTTTATTGAAGAATCTTGTTGGCATCAGGAAGATAGGGAGGGCTTATTATTGCCTCAACCACTGCCTCAACCACTGACTCCACCACTGCCTCAACCACTGCCCCAACCACTGCCTCCACCACTGCCTCCACCACTGACTCCATCACTGCCTCAACCACTGCCCCAACCACTGCCTCCACCACTGACTCCACCACTGCTCAACCACTGCCCCAACCACTGCCTCCACCACTGCCTCCACCACTGACTCCATCACTGCCTCAACCACTGCCCCAACCACTGCCTCCACCACTGACTCCACCACTGCCTCAACCACTGCCCCAACCACTGCCTCCACCACTGCCTCCACCACTGACTCCATCACTGCCTCAACCACTGCCCCAACCACTGCCTCCACCACTGACTCCATCACTGCCTCAACCACTGCCCCAACCACTGCCTCCACCACTGCCTCCACCACTGACTCCATCACTGCCTCAACCACTGCCCCAACCACTGCCTCCACCACTGACTCCATCACTGCCTCAACCACTGCCCCAACCACTGCCTCCACCACTGCCTCCACCACTGACTCCATCACTGCCTCAACCACTGCCCCAACCACTGCCTCCCCACTGCCTCACCACTGACTCCATCACTGCCTCAACCACTGCCCCAACCACTGCCTCCACCACTGCCTCCACCACTGCCTCACCACTGCCTCCACCACTGACTCCATCACTGCTCACCACTGCCTCCACCACTGCCTCCACCACTGACTCCATCACTGCCTCAACCACTGCCCCAACCACTGCCTCCACCACTGCCTCACCACTGCCTCCACCACTGCCTCAACACTGCCCCACCACTG